TCTCTGGGAATGGCTGTTGTAGTGTGTGCAATTAAAAGAAAGTGATTTCTCCATTTGCTCTCCAACAAAACAAATGTCCACCTGAGAGCTGCACCAGAGAAAAAGCAAGTTTTAAAAAATTGTGATACATATCCTATTTGCTTGTTGGAAATTCATCTATTACAAGATCTTAATTATGTATGTATTTGAGAACGCACATTAAAGTAAATCTGAGACAGATAACGATCTGTACAGTTCCGCTTCACTTTGATGTGAACAATGGTTGGGACTAACACATAAGAATGTTCAGCCTGTCTTTCTAATTCGTGATAGGCAGTAGTAGTCCTCCCCATTGCGGGGGATGGCCGCTGCTCAGAGGGGAAACAAAAATCAGGAAATTCTTAGTTTGATAGGTGAGTATATGCCAGATGGTTTACATTTTGTGTGTGCGCTTTTTTTTCAGCCTCTCCCGATACAAGTTGAAGTTCAGTCCAGACAAAGTTGACACCATGATTGTCCAAGCAATCTGTGAGTAGAGTTCAGTGTTTAAACGCAATGAGTCTGGCTTCTATATTTGAATTTTTAATGTCAGGACCAGTTTTAAAAAAGAAGCAAATTTATTTTTAAAATTCAGGTTGCTCATCCAACAGCTCACATTCCTGATTCTGGGGAGAAGGGAACCTGCTTTATCTTCTAAATACAGTTATCCTCCAAATATCTCCAAACCACAAGATGTATCTCAGTCAGGAGGAAGGGCAGGGTTGGTGGTGATATAGGCCTCTTCAACCTGTGGCCCTCCAGCTTTTTTGAACTTCAGCTCCCAGAATTCCTGACTGTTGAACAAGCTGGAGAGGGCTTCTGGGAGTAAAAGGCCCAAACACCTGGAGTTCCACAAGTTGTGCAGGCCTGATATTAAGTGCAATCTCTATAGCTCTAGGAAATATATTCCAAGACTGTGTGGATACCTGAAACCACAGATAATAGTGAACCCTGTAGCAATGAACAACATCTGGCCCAAGAATAGCATAGAGTCACATAGAGGACTTAGAAACTGTCTAGAGAGGAGATATCCTGTCAAATGTGGATATCAAGTCCCATTAATATGACGGGTCTTGGAATCGTACTGTATAGGATGTCTGAAATGTATCTTTACAATCTTTATAATAATAGAATTATAAAGATAATTTTCAGATCATATTTATATCTTGACTTATTGAGTCCTCCCCTTGGGGGGAAAGGGGCAGGGTAAGAGTGCATGAAATAAATAAAACATATTGGGTCCTGCTTAATTCCGTGTGGTAATAATTTGAAACTGACATGCTATGAGTGTATTGCAACTGTTCTTATTATTTGAAACATACATATTATGAATATATTGCAGTATGAATAGAATACTAATTTTGATGTGTGCAGAAAGAGAAGTAGTTGAATGAGAGTAAAAGCAAAAGTATACTATTTGATTGACTGTAAGGTTGAAAAGACTGGGATTCTGTAGGTATTGTCACTGAAGTAGAGGAGTGTCCAAAATGTGCCAAGATACTTGATTCTGACAGTACAACATTTGAGTCACTTGACTGTGTTAGGGACAAAAGTCGGTGATGAAAACACGTTCAACTTATAATGATTATTTTGATTCACTGTTTCATTTCTGAAACGGAGACAACATAACAGAAATCCCCTTAAATCAAATCACAGCCTTTTTTTCATTTGCCAGCACAAAAAGCCTAAAAATAGTGTGTGCTATAATTTTGTTAAGAGCACAATAATGCTATACCTAAAACAAGATGCAAAAAGTAAAAACAATAATTTAAAATTTGTCCAAATGTATCGGATTGAACATAAACGACAAAATAGCATTATGCTGTACTGAAAAGTGCTGTATTAGTGAAGTTCTGGAGAGACTTATTTTGCATAGAATTACGGAAAAAATAGACCCATGTCTGATCCCACAGCAAGCTGGCTTCAGGAAAGGCAAAAGCTGCACATCACAAGTGCTGAACCTGACTCAGCACATAGAAGATGGCTTTGAAAGGCAGCAGATCACAGGCGCTGTCTTCATAGACCTGTTCACAGTTTATAATACTGTGAACCACCGCCTCCTTCTGCTACTCTGTTGCTGAGTATGCATGCCCAGTGTGGAACACATCTCACCACACTAAAACAGTGGATGTGGCTCTTAATGAGACATGCCGCATTATCACGGGGTGTCTGCGCCCTACACCACTGGAGAAATTACACTACTTAGCCGGTATTGCACACTTGACATCCGCCGGGAAGTAGCAGCCAATAGTGAAAGGACCAAGGCAGAGACATCTCCAGCTCATCCCTTGTTTGAGCATCAGCCAGCACGTCAACAACTTAAATCAAGAAATAGTTTTCGAAGATCTACAAAGACACTCGCTGGAACACCTCAGCAAGCGAGAGTCCAAAAGTGGCAGGCTCAAACCCAGAGCCTCAATCAATGGCTGATACCAAATGAGAGACTCCCCCCGTGCACACAGAAGATTGGGCGACTTGGAAGTTGCTGAATAGACTGCACTCTGGCACCACGAGATGCAGAGCCAACCTTCAGAAATGGGTCTACAAAGTGGAATGCACGACATGCGAGTGTGGAGAAGAGCAAACCACAGACCACCTGCTGCAGTGCAACCTGGGCCCTGCTACATGCACAATGGAGGACCTTCTTGCGGCAACACCAGAGGCACTCCAAGTGGCCAGCTACTGGTCAAAGGACATTTAATCAACTACCAAGCTTGCAAACTCTGTGTCTTTTGTATGTTTGTTTGTTTGTTCTGTCAAAAATGTAATACAACTGTTCGGTTGCCTGACACGATAAATAAGTGAAGTACCTTAGAGTGAAATATGCCTTTATTTCTTTTAAATAAATGGTTGTTTGTAATGATGTACAATTTGGAATACATGGTAATGGTTTGAAAACTCGGCTCATCAACTTGCACAGCAGGCTGGACCTAATAGTGTTTACCAGTTGCAACTAAAGAAAGATGCCCTAACAAGTGACATTTCATTTTGTAAAACCTGTTTCTGCCCTGAAATTCTTTGATCATGTTAGTTGTTTTGTTTAACTGCAGTGTTTGAGTCAAGGTAAACATTGTGCACACCATTCTAAGATCTTAATTTCTTGATACTGTTTTCAAAAACGCATCTTTTCTAAAGAGAAACTAAAACATCCTGTCTATTTTTTTTCTTCCAGCCCTTCTTGATGACTTGGACAAAGAATTGAATAACTACATCATGCGCTGTAGAGAATGGTATGGTTGGCATTTTCCAGAACTGGGCAAAATTATCACAGATAACCTAACCTACTGTAAATGTGTACAGAAAATTGGTGAGTAATGCTGGATTACAATAGATCAGTTGTAAAGTCTGTGATGTATTAATTGCTTTGAAATTACATAGCTCATTGTTTTCTGTTTGAAAATGAGATCAACACTATATTAAATAATATTTGTTCCAAATATGCAATGCTTCAACATTTACATAAATATCACTATTGTCTGTATTCTGTTGAATTCTTAATTGAATCAATGATTAAAAAATATGAAATATAGGATGTTTCTTTGTACAGGGAAGTTGTGGTTCTCCAGTGTTGGGTTTTAATGCCCAAATCCCTTAGTATTGGCCATACAGATTGAAAAATATGAGCATTGCAAGCCAGCATCATTTAGAGGTCTCCATGTTCCCTAGCCATTATTTAATAACTGCTTCTGTACATTTCATGTAGTCCAATGTTTCTCAACCTTCCTAATGTCTTGACCCCTTAATGCAGTTCCTCATGTTGTGGTGACCCCCCAATCATAAAATTATTTTTGTTGCTACTTTACAACTGTAATTTTGCAACTGTTATAAATCATAATATAAATATCTGAATACGCCCAAATCTGAATACTAGTGGGATTGGGAAGGGGGATTAATTTTGTCATTTGGGAGTTGTAGTTCCTTGGATTTATAGTTCACCTACGATCAAAGAGCATTCTGAACTCCACTAACAACGGAATTGAACGCAGAACTCCCATGATCAAAAGGAAATACTGGAAGGGTTTTGGGGGCATTGACCTTGAGTTTTATTTGAGTTTTAGAGTTGTTAGTTCACCTACATCCAGAGAGTACTGTGGACTCAAACAGTGATGGATTTGGACCAAACTTAGCATGACTAGTCAATATGCCCAAATGTGAACGCTAGTGGAGTTTGGGGAAAATAGACCTTGACATTTGGGAGTTGTAGTTGCTGGGATTTATAGTTCACCTACAACCAAAGAGCATTCTGAACCCCACCAACCATAGAACAGGCCAAAGTTCCCACACAGAACCCCCATGACCAACAGAAAATACTGTGTTTTCTGATGGTCTTCGGCAACCCCTCTGAAACCCCTTCGCAAACCCCCCCAGGGGTCCCGACCCCCAGGTTGAGAAACGCTGATATAGTCTGTCATTCAAATCACAGTGTGGACATTTCTATTTCAAATAAACAGTAGTGGAGAAAGAAGCTGTCTATGGCTTTGTGTGGCAACACTGGTGGATTCAATCCAATGAAAATCACCAATTTCTTTCTGTCAGCTTTTCATGTTTAACTTTATACATTATGCTTCTTATCCTTATTCCTGTATTTTGCTCCTCATTTCCCCAGGTGACAGAAAAAACTTTTCCTGTTCTGATTTGTCTGAGGTGATTCCCGAGGAAATCGAAGAGGAAGTGAAAGCAGCTGCAGAGATCTCCATGGGGACTGAAGTGTCTGAAGAAGATATCAGCAACATACAGCACTTGTGTGACCAGGTGGTTATGTAGTGTTGGATAGAACTTCAATAACAGACACCACTGTTCAATAAAAAACAACAACCCTTTAATGAAAATGGAATTTACAAAGTGTATTAAGCCACAAAAACACTTCACAGCTTAGTTCTGTGGGAGTTAAATCTTTGATTCATTAGCCAAAATGCCAGTAAGCATCTATCTCTTTAATATAAGCTGTGCTTAAACCAGCAAGTGGCTGAATAACCACTTTGTGATGGCAGTGATGATTCTTGTGAAGCTGCATTCCTGATATACAAACTGAGGGCTGCATAGTCACTACCTCTTCTGATGCCATCTGAAATCATTGATTTAGGGTAACAACATATTCAAAATATGAACTTGACTAATTCTGCTGTTCTAAAGTCTGCATATATTAGGATACCCCATTTCATCACTTACCTTGGTTTTAAATATGATAAAAGCACTGCAAGGCAACTTTGCTCTACTTTTAAATTTTTCACTGGCCTTTCATCTTAGATTTAAAAATAGATCAAAGTCAAAGTTTACAGTGAGCTTCTTGGGTTGAAACCAGTACTCTGATTATGATCAGATGCATCACTTGAGAACTAAAGTCTTTGTAACTTGATTCTATATTGGATCAGGTGCTTTATAGAATTTTTGTCACTGGAAAACTTGGTTCGAGGAAGCATCTCAGATGTCTGAGAGTTGTTTAACTCCAAGTTGTTTCTGACTTACTGCAATCTTAAAGCCAACCTCTCAGAGTTATTTGTTGGCCAGATTAGTTTGGAGGGGATTTCCTTTTGCTTTCCTCTGAAGTTGAAGATTGTGTGACTTGCCCAAGTTCACCCAATAGGTTTCCATGGTTGAGTGGGAATTTGAACCCTAGTTTTCCAGTGTCCTAGTCCAACACTCAAAGCACTACACCATGCCAGCAGTTGCCTACATTTATCTTTCACAAGTACTCAATAAATAATTTTTGTTAAAAGCAAAAATGAACATAAATTTTATTGTAGAAGCAGTTTGAACGTATGGATTTCACACCTTTTGTCTGCAGTACCTGAATGATCTGAGCTCAAAATATCTCAAGGGGTTGTTTACCTATTCACATTACAGCCTTTCAGACAATGCAGATTTGATTTGGTGGCCTTCCTCGCCTATTTACATCTGTATGTTAAGAGTGTGAGGGACTGGGCCTTCTCAGTATTGACACCAAAGTTTCAGAGTGCTCTGCAATTGGGCATTTACCATGCTGTTTCAATATCAGTTCTTTTAATAATGTCCGTGTTCCAATTGGCTCATGCCATAAGCTGGATCAGTTGCTTTTAACATTTTTATGTTGCTGTCTTTTTTCAGGCCATTGGGATGTACATTTTTGTGTGTGTTTACATTACAACCAAGCTTTTTGGGGAGAGAGGCCGGATTATAAATAAAGTATTATTATATAATCCTTACTTTCAAAAGGCAGACAGTTGCTTAATTTCTGTATCTGCCTTCTTATTAAACTCTTCCACTCTCTCTTTTTAATAACTTGATTTTACCAACTTTTCTTTGCATAGTGTGATTAATTGTATTCTATTTTTCAGGTCATCGAGATCTCAGACTACCGAGCACAACTATATGATTATCTAAAAAACAGGATGATGGCCATCGCACCTAATCTTACAGTTATGGTGGGAGAGCTAGTCGGAGCCCGGCTTATTGCACACGCAGGTATACTTGGCTAGAAATGTGTCTTACTCTATTCTGTACCTTATAGTGCCCAAAGCAACTTAATTAATGAACCAGACTATCCGCTTAGATCACTCTGAGATATTGTGAGATACAGGCAGCAGCATAAAAATCGATTTAACAAAAAAAAAAAAAGCCCATAGCTGCTGGACTGTACTGAAAAGTACAAGGTTTCAACATTGGTAGGAGCCTAGAAGCATTCAATGATGATTCATTTCTGAAGTTTGCCTGATTTCATCTTGGAAAAGTGAAGGCAACTCTAGTCACTACCTCTTCTGAGATGCTTCTTGAGCTCTGCTCCCTGCAGTCTGCGCTGTATTAAAGGAGATGTAGTTAATTCAAGTAATGAGAGGAGACAGATGAATCTGGTTTTAGTTGCAACCAATTTCAAGTAGCAACAATAGTATAACCTGATGCTAGTCTCTTTCTCCAGAACTCTCCATTTCAGTCGAGAGGATTGTTTTATGTCTGCAACTCTTTTTTGTTGTTCTAAAATTTTAAGCTTGATTCCTGTCAGCAGAGTTGCCAGGTTGCAAAGGTTGCTCATTCCTTGAATCTCTTCTTGGCACTTCTTTTTTCACAGGTTCCCTTTTGAATCTGGCTAAGCATCCAGCATCAACTGTCCAAATTCTGGGAGCTGAAAAAGCACTGTTCAGAGCTCTGAAGACGAAACATGACACTCCCAAGTTTGGTTTGATTTATCATGCTTCCCTTGTGGGGCAAACAACAGCCAAAAACAAGGGGAAGGTAAGATGTCTTCTATTGTGCATGTTGCTTTCCTCAGGCACCACTGTCTTGATAGAACTAGTAAGAAAGTGTTCAACTGGGTGTTTTGCCCTGAAATTGAAAGAATTGGTAACTAAGGAGTTAAGACCTAAGATTTCACCTAAAGTTTGATCCAAAGTCTAACCTGCTGGTTCTCAAACATCAGAAGGTTTTGTACCCTATGTCTCCCCAGTTCACTGCTTAGAATAAATTCCACACACAAACACATGAAGACTTTCACATATAGCTTTTGATTATTGGTATACTCATCCAACATCAAAACTAGAAGACAACAGTCCAAATTGAGCAGGTTGACCTTCCTAATTAGTAGAGAGATGTTTTATTTGAGTAGGGCTTTGGCAGTTAAGCTACTTCATAGTGAAGGGAATCTTACATGAGTGGATGCTAGCTAGTTTTTGTGGTTTAGATAATTTTAAATTATCAGGCTTTGTTTCTGAGCTGTATTTTTAAACGGTAGCTGTATTGAACATTTTCTTTGGCTTAAAGGAAGGATCTGTGTTGATTGAAAGACATAAGTCAGTCAGCTGCATTCAAAGCAGAGTTAACTCTAAAATCATCTTCGGTTGAGGTGTGTTCTATGATGTGGGTCTGGGAAGATCTGCCACCAAGTCAAAGCTGAAGATAGGGAGAATAAATTATTTTGTGAGTTTTTTCCTCCCTAGTTCATTGCATTCATACTACTGTTTAGATATCCTGTGCCCAAGTAGGCCTTACCAACATATTAAGGCAGTGGTTCTCAACCTGGGGTCCCCAGATGTTTTTGGCCTACAACTCCCAGAAATCCCAGCCAGTTTACCAGCTGTTAGGACCTCTGGGAGTTGAAGGCAAAACACATCTGGGGACCCATAGGTTGAGAACCACTGTATTAAGGCTTAGTGGTGTAGTCCTCAGAGCCTATTAATAGAATGGTAACGGGAAAACGACTTTTCGGTGGCATCCAAATTGCAGCAGTCCTGTACATAGAAATCCATATAATAGATTATTATGAAAATAAATGAGATGTGGATCTTTCTCTTGCCTTTTAAAAATCAGTGCCATAAAGATTATTATATGTAATTCAGTTGGGTAATTGTTTTTTACATGCCTGTGGCATTTTATTCATATGAAAATATTCAGTGAAGGAAATAAATATTTGAACAGTTGTTTTACTTGCAGTTAAAAAGGTATTTGACTTGTATTACATTTTGTGTGTATGTGCCTGCAGGTTGTCACTCTATTTGTGGTGACACCATTCATCTCATAAGGTTTTTTTTAGGCAAGGACTACTTGGAAATGGTTTTGCCAATTCTTTCCTCTGAAATACTGCCTACAGAACCTGGTGTTCATTGGTGGTCTTCCATCCAGGTTCTGATTAGGACTGGCTCTGCTTAGTTTCCAAGTTCAAATGGGATTTGGTGCCTTTAAGATAGGCTTTATTTTGACTTGAGCTCATTTCTTAAAAAGCAAACATTAAAGTTTGAGTGTGGTGTGCTATGATCTTTATCATCCAAATTTTATCCAGAATTTCCCACTGTTTCCTTGCATCACCATGATTTTCAATTGCATGTGTACAGTAAATTGTCATTGAGGTTTCACTGGGTATATTTCACTCTTTTCTGTAAGATCTCACGAATGCTGGCTGCAAAAACAGCGTTAACTATTCGTTACGATGCCCTTGGAGAGAGTACCAGTGCTGAGATGGGTGCTGAGAACAGATTGAAAGTGGAAACAAGGCTAAGGCACTTGGAAGAGAAAGGGGTGAGTACATGGAAGTAGAAATATACCTTGTTCTCTGGGGCTGAAAAGAAAATATTTTTGAGCCAGTTGAACCTTTGTGGTGAGGATATCCCAATAAGTATAACTGAAAGGGCATTCTATAGTCTCTGTACTACTCTCTTGGGGGAAGGCTTTTCTTGTTAAACAAGCTGTTTTAAGAGCATATAAGCATTGGGTCAAATATGGCAATGTCATTTTAAGAAAACGAATTAGCCTGGTCCAGCCCTAGAGTATTAGCATGGCTGTTTTGGCTCATGTCAATATTCAGGCCTGGTAATTATAATTATGGATAGGAAGGTTACACAGTTATAAAGTAGACTTTACACCAGAACTCCCTAAATCCTGTAGGCAAATCAGAATATAAAGATTTTAATACAGTACAACCTTATTTTTGGGGATGAGGGGATACCTGGCTAGTTTAAACAGAGCTATAATAACACCAAGGCTGATCTTTAGGCCTTGCTTTCCTCATTCACCAATAGCTGCTAAGCCATAAAATGGCACCTAATTTTACCACAAAAACTGGGGAAACTTATTGACTTGAGTATAAGCCAAGGTGGCAAATGCAGCAGCTACTGATCAATTTCAAAATAAAAATAGATACCAATAAAATTACATTAATTGAGGCATAAAGCTTCTCCTCTTGGCACAGCAACCCAGCCACATGCCTTCCTCTCCTGTCTTGGCACAAAGATCCAGCTGGCTTGCTGTACCGAAAGGGAAGGAAGCACGGAGCTGGTAGAAGGGCTTCTTTCAACCCCATGCCTGCCCGCCCAAACCCTAACTTGAGTATAAGTCGAGAGGGCCTTTTTCAGCATTAAAAATGGTGCTGAAAAGCTAGACTTATACTCGAATATATACAGTATCTTCACATTATGTGTATAAAGCTTATGTAAAACATAAATAAATTTCATGCTTAGACTTGTATCCTGATTCCAAGATATTTTATTATGTTCGTGTGTACAAATAATAAAGGTATTCCAAAATCTAAAAAAAAAAATACAAAATCCAAAACACTTCTGGTCTGAAGCATTTCGGGTAAGGGATAGGCAACCTGTATTAAGCAG